ATAATTATACTACAGTTTTAATACACATTGAAATTTTTAGAATTTTATCTCATAGAAATGGAGTCCAATATTGCCCACAAGTTAGTACAACCCAAGAGTCTTCGATTTAGATTAGCTTCTATTCATGAAGTCTACATGAAGCATGTGTCCCATAATGACATGTCAACACCACAAATGCCTCTGTTTCTTCAAAATTTTGCATTTCGATTGACATCTCGAACCTTGATTTTAAAAAATTAGGGAAAATCAATTTTGAAAGTTGAGTATATAGAAATAATAGAAGTGAGTAAATTGAACGGATCAAAAATTGTTCCATGACTACGATTGATGCATAAATGGCACACATCAAGAGTAAATACATGAAGTCTTTTGTTAATTTTTCTAACTGAGAATTTTCAGTTACTAAAGTGAGAAAATACTTTGATGATTAACTTGAAAATTATTTTTTTCCCTTTTTTCTTTTCCACTTGAAAATGCTCAGTCAGTCAATAGAAAATGGCTTCAGATGATCCAATTGTCGTTTACACAAAACCACGAAACACTTGCATTAAGTATAATCAGATACTTAGATCAGGATAAATATGTAACAGAGCAATTCCATCTCATCAAGATAGGTGGCAACTCATTACAGCTCATCAAGGAAGGTAGCTCACCATTGAAAGCATGCAAACAATGTCACTGGAGCCAGCTATTAGTTAGACAGTTAGATTAGCTAATTCATTACACGTGTTCACATTGTATTGGTTTGTACAACTGAATTAGTTAGAGTTAGTTAGTTTGTTGATTTCATTTTCTCTATTTATATACAACTCTTGTAATCCTCGGTGTAATTTTTCTCTCTAAGGCAATACAATTGAATTCTTTCTTTCTTCAATCATTCAATATGGTATCAGAGCAATGTGTGCTTCTATCTTCTGATTCTTTACAATTCAATTGAATTTCTGTTCTCTTGTGATCAAATTCCTTTTGGCAAGTTATGGCATCAACAGTGAATACCCCAAGCGAGAACAATTCCACATCATTGAGCAATTCCGCCATTGATGATGAATCTAGTCCTTACTGTTGTTACTGGAGTATCTCCTTCAAACAATCCGACAGAATTACCTTGTAGCGTAACAATATGATCGACAGTATCAGAAAAAAGCAATTTGAGCCCACCGTTCCTTAGTTTTTCCAACTGAGTTGCATTCAGAAACGACTACTGAAAGATTCATGTCTTGCACCTTATCGGAAAGGTTGTCATGTTCTGATACATTGGCCTGATGAGGTTTTCCCTTGAC